GAACCCTGCTGGGCCTCAAAGAGTGAGGTAGGCATGAGCATAGCTGCTAGCCCACCAGGGCAGTGGGGATGGGCATGGCAAGTAGCTGGCTTGTGGCCACTCTGCATGTTCTGTTGGAGGCTATGCTTGCTCTCAGGGACCTCGAGGAGGGCCAGGTGGTTTTGTAGTGCAGGGCCACCCTAGCCCTTCCGACATGCTTTTGGCCATCCTGCCTACTCACTGTTTTTAGGTTTTTAGAGACTTTCAATATGTAGCCCAGGCTACCACCTAGCCATAAAAATATTCCTCTGCCTGTCTCTCAATTAGGGCTACAGGCAAACACCACCACACCTAGCCACTCTGCCATATTTTAAAAATATTTCTATGTGCGTGTGTGTGTGCGTGCATGCGTGCATGTCACAACACCTGTGGAGATCAGAGGACAGCTTTGTGAGGCATGTTCTGTCCTTCCACCTTTGTGTTTTTCTTGGGATGGAACTCAAGCTTGCTCAGCAGGGCCTTCACCTGCTGAGCCAGTCTCAGGGGGCCCATTCTGGGACACAAAAGCTGCAAAGACTGCAGCGGGCAAATACAAAATGCCTCCTCTGGGGTTCTTACAGAAAATTTGCTGCTTGTAGCTTAAGAAGGTTCTTCCTGTAGCTCTACCCATGTGTCTTACTTAGATCAGGTATCCTAACACTTGCCTTGGTGGCTGCCCCTGAGAGTAAAGGCCTCTACTTTTGTTGTTCAGATAGCCCTGGCTGACCTGGTACTCTGTAGCCAAAGCTGTCCTTGAACCCATGGCAGTCCTCTAGCTTCAGCCTCCCAAGTGCTGCTGGGCTTCAGTCTTTAGTCTTCATTGTACTGAGAGAGGCCTGGGCCCCACCCACTTTGTCCTTGAAGGTTCCTTCCCTCCTGGGCAAGGTACCAGTGGTTGGGCTCTCTTGCTTCTGCACACACTGCCTTTGCACTGTCCAGCATCTTCACACTGACCCTGTTCTGAAAGGATCTCCTCATTCCAGGCCCTGTATTTGGGAGCAGAGACAACTTCCATGGGTTAGCCATCTTCCTGGACACATATCCCAATGATGAAACCACTGAGGTAGGACTCTGCTCGCCTGAGGAACAGAGTGGGTGGGATGCTGTGTGCCCACAGGGCGGCTGGGCATGGAGTGATCAGTGTCTTGGTTCCAGCGTGTGTTCCCGTACATCTCGGTGATGGTGAACAATGGCTCTCTGTCATACGATCATAGCAAAGATGGGCGCTGGACTGAGTTGGCAGGCTGCACAGCTGACTTCCGCAACCGGGACCATGACACCTTCCTGGCTGTCCGCTATTCCCGGGGTCGCCTCACGGTGGGTAGACATGATGGGGAGGCCGCTGGGCCTGTGCTGCTTCCACAGAGAGGCTCCAGGAGCCTGAGTTTGTGCTTGACCCTCGGCTGTCACAGGTGATGACTGACTTGGAAGACAAGAATGAGTGGAAGAATTGCATCGATATCACTGGAGTGCGCCTGCCCACTGGTTACTACTTTGGAGCCTCTGCTGGCACTGGTGACCTGTCTGGTGAGTGTGTGAGGGGATCTGTCCTCAGCAGTTAATCACCTTCCTTCCTTTGCTTTCCTTAAGTCTTCCTCATTTTACCATCAGTTGTAAATGCTGGTATGCAAGGCTCAGGCCCAGAGCACAGCTGGCCTCTTCATTTATCTCTAGGTGATGGCCGCTTTGGATCTGAGCATCATAGTGTTATGGAAGTCTAGCTCCAGCTCTGTAGAACACAGGACTGTCTCTGCTCAGCTGCCCATCAGGTGTAATGATGGCACCCTGTCGAGCTGCATGGGATAAAATAACCTGGTGTCATCCTGGACCTTCTCATACCACTTACACCTTGGCAAATCCCACTCCCCTTTTTTCTCCTCACTGCATTCAAGCCACCATCCCTCAGTGACACGTGGTACCCTCCTTTCATGCAAGGCCCCCTGACAGTCTGTCCCTGGTTCCTGTGCTCCAACTGTAATGTGACTTACCATCCCATTTGATAGGGCAGCCCCCTCCCCTTAGCTCCTCGCTGACGTGGCTTCTCCTTGTGCTGAGGGTGAGCTCCAGCTGTCCTGTCCTTTCTGCATGGGACCTGATCACCTCGGTGTCTTGCTTACATGTTAACTTCCTCAGTCCTTCAAGATGGTAAGAAATGGCAGAACCCAGGAGGCAGCTAGCATCTGACTTGAAAGCTGGTTCTCAAGGCTCAGCCCTTGGCTTCAAGGGGCCAGCCTGACCTGGCTCCAGCTGCTTTTTGTATAGCTTCTTTCTTCTCTGCACTCCAGGTCACTCCCACCCCAGCCTTTATTAAACAGCCTTGCTTTAGATGAACCAATTCACCGAGTTCACCTGTGGAGTTGGCTGGCTGGGAGCCTCCCCTCTGAAAGTTAGGAAATCTTTTGTGTAGTAGTGTTTGGACCACACCCTTCTCAGGTCTCAGGCTGAGTTGCTGACTGCCTGTTGTTTATCTGTGGCCTGCACGTGGGTCTCTGACAGGACCTCCTGCTTCCTATTCTTGGAAGTATCAGACTTCTCAGGCAGCCTTAGAATGATCACGCTGGCCCTTATCTGGTTTCTGTTTTTAGTTCATATCCTCTGCTCAGTATTGTCTCTCACGCTCCGTGGGCATTCTCAGTGCTGGCTGTTGTGATGGCTCAGTATGGACATCACCGCTTCCATTCTGTGAAGAAACTAAGTCTTTAAGTTTAGACCCAGATCCCTCTGAACATCTGAGCTCGTCCTCTCTTTCCATTCTCTCTTCAACTTCCCCAAGCTGGGGCTTGACCCCAATGCTCGGGATGCTGGGGCTTGACCCCGGGCCTTCACACATGCTCGGGATTGAGCTGCATGCACCCCAGTCCCCCTCTCGACTCATTTCAGTCCCTGAAGTGCTGCCTGTCTGGGAAGAAAGCTGTTTTTCCTGGGGACTTGGCCCTTCTCTGGCTGAGGCAGCTCTTCTTTGGGTGGGGCAGTGGCCACATCTTGAGGTGCTCACTCTCTGCCGTAGACAATCATGACATCATCTCCATCAAGCTTTTCCAGCTCATGGTGGAGCGGACGCCTGAGGAGGAAAGTATCGACTGGACCAAGATTGAACCCGGGGTCAGCTTCCTCAAGTCCCCTAAAGGTATGTGCGTCTACAGCCCTGCCCTCCCGGCTTCCAGAACTCTGTGGTCCTGTCCTGCTGTGGCTGTGTTCTGGGCTCTTTCCTCTGTGACTAGAGGCAGGAGCTTGGGTCAGATCCACTTCAGTGAGGTCATGAGTAAAATATTGAGTGCTGACTCGCTGTGTATCTCTGCAGAGGCTGCAGTACCTCGTCAGCACGCGTGTGAGCACCTAGCATCCACTTCTTCCTGTGTTAACTAAGGCCATTTGGCTGTCCATGTGTGTAGCGTGCCCAGCGTGCCCAGCACTCCTCGCACACCTTGTCCCTCGTGACTGAGCCACTTAGGAGCTGACACTTAGGTTTGCTCAGCCAGAAAGAGGCACGATGGTCAGCTTGTCTATAAACCTGGCCTCACAGTGAGTGTTCCGGGTAAAGAAGCTTCTTTTCTCCTATCCCCTAAAAGCCATAGACTGCCTGCCATGGGTCTACTGAAAATTAGACCTAAAGAGGCTCGTTTCTGCCCAGGCCCATGTTCTTCTGTTTTGTGATATGAATCTCACTTTAAAAATAGGGCTGGAGAGATGGCTCAGTGGTTAAGAGCATTGACTGCTCTTCCAAAGGTCCTAAGTTCAATTCCCAGCAACCACATGGTGGCTCACAACCATCTGTAATGAGGTCTGGTGCCCTCTTCTGGCCTGCAGGCAGAGTACTGAGAATACTGAATACATAATAAATAAATCTTTTAAAAAAAGATGTATATTATAAAAATAAGATTCTACCTTGTGAAGCCCAGGCTGGCCTTGAATGGAGCTTATGTGGTTGAGGGTGATGGTGACGTTAGTCTGAGTTTCCTGCTCTGCCCTGGGTATAGGAATTAGAGTAAGCACTGGGCCTGGGGTTGACGTCTCACATACCTGCATGTGAGTGTGGGTGCCCGCGAGGCTGGAGTCAGGTCCCCTGGAGCTGGAGCTACAGGCATCTGTGACCCACTCAGCATGGGCTCTGGGAATTAAACTCTGCTCTGTGGAAGAGCAGAACGCCATAAGTACTCTCAACTCCGGAGCCATCCTTGGCCCATCTTAATTCTGATTGGTCTTAGTGTTTTAGAGCTCAGTCAGTCCTGCCACACAGCACCGTTTAATCTGTTCTGGTTGTTGCTCCCAGAGATGCCATCTGCTTTGCCACCCAGGAGGCAAGCAAGATAGGGACATTAACCTGATGGATGACTTCTCCAAAGCTTCCACTCCGTGCCTAGCTCTGTTCTGTCCTTTAGTGGAGTGACTGGGCAGTGGTAGGCCGCGGGAACCCATAGTAGCCACAAGGCTAAACGGCTTGTGGGGGAGTCCTGTGGCCTTCCAAGCTCTACCTCCTCAGAGTTCTGCCGAGTAGATTTCATCAGAACTCTGCCACCTTGCCAGTGTAAATACAGGACACAGGTCTTGGGTTGGACTGGCTCCCTAAGGCTGTGCGGCTCTGCTGGAAGCTCCTCAGTCCAGTTTCATGGGACGAGTTATGGGCAGCCCCTTCGTGCATCGTACATTAACCTCCCTCTTTCCCACAGACAATGTGGACGACCCCACTGGAAATTTCCGAAGTGGTCCCCTGACGGGGTGGAGAGTGTTCCTGCTGTTGCTGTGTGCTCTCCTGGGCATCATTGTGTGTGCTGTGGTGGGCGCTGTAGTCTTTCAGAAGCGCCAGGAACGGAACAAACGTTTCTACTGAGCGGCCAGTCTGACTGGAAGGGCCTGACCTTGGGCCAGGGCTCTTATGAACTTTTTTTTCTACTGGGATTGTAAAAACAACCAAGCAACCAACCTTATTTCTTAACTGTTTCAAAGAAATAATTAAAGTATTTTCATACATTTTGCTTCTGGCCCAGCTGAAGACAGCGGGCAGGGCTCAGGGCTCAGCATCCCTACAGCTGGAGGGTCTTGTCCCATCCCAAGGCATGCTCTTGGGTGCGGGGAGTCTGTACAGGGGCCCAGCGAGGCCCTGCGGGTGACTGTGAAACACAAGAGGTTCCATGTATTCATGGTTGGCTCCTTAGGGTTCCAGGTGTGGTTTGTTCTGAGGCCTGTGGTAGCGAATGGGCTTTGGGATTCTGGGCCTTCTTGCGTCCCTATAGCTTTTTACAAAGGCAAACCTCAGCCCAGGGTATGACCATTTCCTAATAAAGTAGCCAATCTCACCCTCATGCCTGTCCTAAGGGCTTTGTCATTTCTGGTCATTTTCCAGTCCGTTCTCTGGCCTGCAGCAGCCCTAGAGAGAAGGGATGGTGGTTGTCACATTGCTCAGTTGGGGAAACATGACTCGGGTCAAGCAAAATGCAGGCGTACACAGGGTGTGACCTCAGCCCAAGGCTATAGGCTGCACTGGGGTGGTGAGGGAAAGCCATAGAAACCTTGAGGAGACTCGGATGATCTGGAAGGAGCCAGTGAGCATGGACTGGAAGACGGGATGGCAGTGGTGTTCCCTTCACCTACCTGTGGGGAACAAAGCTGGGGCTGAGGGGAAGCAGGCATTAGCAGCACCCACTCCAGTCTTCTCCACTCAGGTTTTGACCTGTGGCCGTCCAAATCTCCCATCATGTAGAATTGTGTTGTCTCCAGTCACGCTCTGGTCCTCATCGCCTTCCCACACAGCCAGGTAACGTTTGGTCTGTCACCCTGCAATCAGAAGCTGCCGTTCCACTGCGGTGATGACCGAAGCCCAGCATTGTCCCTGCCACTTAGAGCTGTTCACTGAACTACTGGGAGCCATCTGTCCCTGTCAGGAACTGCCGTGGTTAGGTGTCCTGGGGTACCTCACTGCGACTGCCAAGTGTCCAGCTGTGTGTGTGTCTCCTTTACAGGTGTACGAGCCTGGCAGGAACCACCATCCTTCCAACCATGCATTAACTGTTTACTCTGACGCTTAGCATGTGGGGCCTGGAAAAGCAGAGTGAGTGTGTGTGTGTGTGTGTGTGTGTCTCCAATGTCAGGACCTCAGAGGCCTGGACTCTGACCCAAGTTCATGGTTCTAACTAGCACTCCCTGAGATTCTGAGTTATTTAGGCATGCTAGAATCAAAAAGATTTACCTCTGCATTTTAGAGCCACCTGCACAACTAAAGAGCCCGCTGCAGAGTTGGGGAAACGACTCAGTCAATAAAAGACTTGCTTTGCAAGCATGAGTTTGAACCCCAACATCCACAGAAAATTTCTTGGTGTGGCAAATACAGTCCTGTCATCTCAAAACTGAAGGCTGATGGTCTCTGGGATTCCCTGGACAATTTGTGACCTCCATGCCAAGGGAGGCACATGGCATCCCTGAACATCACCCCAAAGTTGTCCTCTGATCTCTGCATACCTGGCCTAGGGAATCTTGTGAGGTATGGATCCCAGACTTGGTACCAGCCTTAAAGTGATCTTGTAGGTCTGTTTTACCTGCCGGGTGGGTCTCCATCTACCCCTGCATCGTACCGGCCCTTCCAGGTGGGGTCTCCATGCATTTCTGCATCATACTGGTCCTTACAGTGGGCTCTCCATCCATCCCTGCATTGTATTGGTCCTTCCGGGTGGGCTCTCCACCTGCATATTTATGAAAATTGTTTCTAAGTTCATACCCAGAGCTGTATTTTCAAATAGGAATAAGATTCCACAATTAGTATTTTGGCATATGTTCCTAAAAATTGAGTTACTTCATCATTTGACATTTAAGCATAAATGTATATAATACCCTTGGAGCTATTGTGTAATGTGGGAAATAACCTGCTAACACATGTGGCCCCACTGTCCCCTCCCTCCCCACAGAGATGATGGTTGTTAAATTTGTTGTGTTGTATTTTAAAACTTTAGTATTTGAATGCATTCCTTAGCTCTTCAAGCTCTGTACTGCTGAAGTGCCTCTGGCCTTGGAGCCCAGGCTGCTTCCTGGCTGTCCTGCTGGTGGGTGTGGCCACATCTCTTGCCCTGCCCAGGACGGTTGGGTGGTTTCCAGGTCTTGCTCTTAGATGCAGTGCTGCTTCAGATGTTCTTGGACTGTGTTTGCACACATCACGAGAAGTATGGGCCTGTAGCTTGTATACATTTCCAGTTTTGCTAGCCGGGGCCACGTTGCTTTCCAAAGCGGATTGCGTTTTTTTCCCTTCTGCCTACTCCTTAGCACCTGGCAGCCGAGTTCAGCTCGGCTGTGAGAGTTTTGCTGTGTGCTTTTCCACATCAGGCCAAGGGTCGCCGTGTGCTTCCTCCCATGCTTTACTTCTGACCCTCTTGCTGATGTTCAGGGATCCTTGTCTTCAGTGTCCTGGCTAGACGCTTTGCAGAGGCTCCTTCCCACTCACAAGGCTTCTTCCTTTGTTAATGACGTCATTTGATCACAGTCTGTCTGCAGTTACATGGCATTTATTCTTTTCCAAAGATGACTTTCCTAAAGGTTTTTAACTTCTGCCTTTAAAAATGTGCACTTTGTTGACGCGGGACGTGCGCAGTCCTGACGTCATCATCCCTGCTGTCTCCACCCAGTTGTGGCAGAGCCTTTCTGACTCACTCATCCTCCAGCACCCATGGCTGGTGCCCAGACACCCACTGTTCCTTTCTCTGTTCATCAGTTGGGATATTTCTCTTCCCAGCTTCCTTCCAGCAAGGGAGGTCATGCGAACCGTGTGGCTCAGGACAGCCGAGGACATTGGCTTGCAGGTCCTCTCATCTTCCTACCTGAGGCTACAGAAACTCCCATGACTGAAGGCTGGGATGAGCACACACCTGTCAGATGGGAGGGTCTCAAGCCTTAGACAGTCAACTGCTGGGGTTTGTGTGTATGTGTGTGAGGGAGAAGGAAATAAAACCTCTATTTGTTCAAACTAGCGTGAGTTGTGAGTTCTGTTATGGCTGAAAACAGCCTAGCTTCTGCCCCCAACCCACACCTCTAGCCCCATCCACCCTGGCCTGCACCTGAGAAGCACAGTTTGGTTAAAGGCTCTTCTTAGACAAGCCTCATGACCCGAGTCCACACAGAAGGTGTCACTTAGCTGCAGCTCATGGTGGCTCGGGACACAGGACCCTGAACATCAGGGGAGATCGAAGACCAGGCTTTGGAGAAAGTGAGAGTCCAGGCAACAGCTTTATGCCTTTGGGTTGGGTGACTTTGGCTTAGGTATTTCACAGAACACCCGAGTCCTCTCCTTCCCCTATTGGTCCAGTTTAGACACCTACCCCAGCACTTTCCTGGCTATTTTGTCTCACAATGTCTTCCAAGAACAAGAAGCCACCATCACAGGCTTGCCATGAGGGCCTTCCTGGATGCCCTCTAGAGATGGGGAGAGAAGAAATTTGACTATAAAATAATGGCCTGATGACCTCTCTAGCTGCTTCTTACTGAGAAGGGGTGGAGTCTAGCTATATCAGTCCAAGAGAGGGGATACATATGATGTGGGGTGCTGAGGCTGATTCACATGGCTGTGGTTTAAAAAACTCCAGTAGGTAGTATCCACCTGGGCGGCATCTGCAGAAGCAGAGGGGCTAAGGGCAAGAGAATGCAGGGGCCACCACAATATAGTTCAGTGTAGAGTGGCCATTCCCAGAAAAGTCAGACAGCAGCAATCAGCAGAACAAACTCCAGTCAGGTGGGATAGTGAGGAAGATGACGGGATGCTACGCATCCAGGGCCTAAATGCCTGTTTCTTGAGGTCCTCCATTGGGTCTGTTCAGAGCTCGGCTTGTACCTTTCTCCTTCGGTATTACCCCCAGGCGTGTGACTTGGCATTGCCATAGTTGGGCCTTTTATCAAGAGCCCTCTAGAGGTCGGGCTAAGACTGATTGTGATTTGTCTAGCCTTGTCAGTTTGACCCCCTCCCTCTTCCAGTCTCTGAAGGTCATTTTGGCCTCCAGCACTGGTTTCTGGAGTGATGAGCCCAGGATCTACTTTCAGGCATGTTGGTAACTTCTGTAGTGACGACTCAGGGAGCCCCTTCCAGACAGCTAGAGAAGGATGGAGAGAAGTTTACCCATGAAACCACAGCTGGCCTGTCCTTTCTGGCTGTAGGCAGGCACCGCAATGTTGAACTGAGGCAAGCTCGTGAGGTCCTACATCTGCGCAGTGTTGTTATCAAATCATTAGTCAGAAGCAGCCGTCCACACAGCAGCTCATGGATTTAAGCCTGAGGTCCAGGAGTGTGATCCTGGAGACAGCTCAAAGAAACACTAATCCTTTTAGCCTTTGGTATTCTTACCTGTTAGGTATTTAAGACCTTCTAAGACCTTCTAAGTGGCCAGATTTATCACTTAAAAAACAAAACTGTCAAGGCCAACTGAGGATCTTGTTCTCAGGAGTCACTTGGGCTTTGATTCCCTTCCTTTTTACCAGTTGTCCCATCTGTGTGATGACGAGCCAAAGGCCTTACTTGACACTATGGCTTCAGTTGGAATCTTGAGGGAATACTTTCTTTGTGTTGGTCCTTTAAAAAAAAAAAAATATTATAAGTTGGGCAGTGGTCATGAACATGTAAGCCTTTAATCCCAGCACTTAGGAGGCAGAGACAGGCGGATCTCTGTGAGTTTGAGGCCAGCCTGGTCTAAAGAGCTAGTTCCAGGACAGGCTCCAAAGCTAGAGAAACCCTGTCTCAAAAAACACGTGTGTGGTGTGTTTGTGTGTGTTTGTGTATGCATGCGCATTGGAGTTTGACCTACATGTCTTTGTGAGGGAGTCAATCCTCTGGAACTGGAGTTACAGACAGTTGTGACCTGCCATGTGGGTGCAGGGAATTGAACCTTAGAGCTCACTGAATGGGGTCTCCATGGCCTCCCTGACAAGAGAACAAATGACCTTGACAGCTAAAAACACTTTGAGAGAAGTCCCACATCCCTGGGATCTGGCTGATCTTAGAGGGCAAGGAGGAAAACACCCTTCTCTTTCAGTCTGTCTGACCACACCAGCATAACCTTCAGATATGGTTACTCAACACCCGGAAGGGCAGTTACACCAGTCTGTGTAATATTTAGATAAGGTCTGGGAAAGAACCAAACACTTAAACTTTGATTAGACAGACATTTTTGTTGTCAGTCTTTGTTGTTGTTAGAGACTAGACCAGAAACTCCATTGATTTTTTTTGTTTTATTTTATTTTATTTTTCCTGAGACAGGGTTTCTCTACATAGCTTTGGGGCCTGTCCTGGAATTACCTCTAGACCAAGCTGGCCATGACCTCAGACAACTACCTGCTTCTTCTGCCTCTCCGGCTCCACCTTACCACCCCCACACCCCCACCCTCCGCCCTGAGTGCTGGGATTAAAGGCCTGCGCCACCATTGCCTGGCCAAGACCACTGATTTAAGCAGAGTTTTGACATCCGTAAGTCAAAGTTGGACCTTTTGCCTACCTTATAGACATTGCTTAAGCTCCTCAGCTTTCCATTCTGGAAAGATACCCAGCCATCTTATGAGACAAAATAGCATCAAGTCAACGATCAAGAAGCCCAGCTGTGATGATTGTCTGCAGGTTGGCACAGCTGGTGTGTTGCTTGTCTGAGAAGTGTGGTGTAACAGCCCCTTAATAAAACAAATCGAACCCCAACTGCATACGTAATAAGCACTGCCTGTATGCACCGCTAGACTAGGGGCTTGGTAGGTTTCCAGTAAACCCCTTACAGAAAGCACAACGGTCTTCGTGCTGGGCGTAGACTATGAACTAAATGATTTCCTATTCTCTTGGGCTGTTTTGCTTTCCTTTCTCCCTGTCAGAGCCGAGAGCCAGCTCAGGAAAGGGGACTTTGGAGGACATTTTGAGACAAACATGCTTGGGTCTAAAGTGTGAGAGCCACATCCCACCTTCCGAGCCAGCGTCTCAAGGCCTCAAACAGCACAGGACGCTTTAGTGCACGCACACAAGGCATTCGTTCCTCTGCAAAACTGAAGCCAGGGTTTTACACCAGACAGACTCGCTCTTGACAGAGGGCTGGACACAAAGCGCAGGGATGTGTCTGGATGAGTCTCATCACGCATTGGGAATGGGGACTGAAACTCGTCTTTTGAGAGTCTCCAAACCTCACGATGACACGCAGAGAACAGCCATCATCACGGAGGATCAGGCCCACAGAAACAGCTGCCTTTACCCCAGCTCACTGGAGACTCTCTCCGCCTAAAATGTGGGAAGCCAGGACCCACAATCCTGTTTGTGTGTGTACACAAATGGAAGCGATCTGGAAAACTCAATTCCCTGTTTTTCCTTCAGGCTCCTCTAGACAAGGTTGTGAACATAGGTGGGTCTGAATTCCCTCACCGTCTCCTGCAAGGGAAACACCCAGGGCAAACTGGGGCTGGGTCCCCAGACAAAAGAAAACTGGTTTTTTTTTTATTGTTTAAGATTCTAAACAAAAACAAAAAAAAAGCCGGGCAGTGGTGGCACACGCCGTTAATCCCAGCACTCGGGAGGCAGAGGCAGGCAGATCTCTGGGAGTTCAAGGCCAGCCTGGTCTACAAGAGCTAGTTCCAGGACAGGCACCAAAGCTACAGAGAAACCCTGTCTCAAAAAAACAACAAAAAAATTCTAAAAATTACTCTGTCTCCAAAAACAAAAAGATTCTAAGGGTCTGAGTTTGCCCAGTCTTGGAGAAGGCCAAGTGGTAACAGTGGAGGAATCTTGGAACCAGTTTGTCCCATCTGTAGCACTCTCTGCCAAGGATAGCAAGGCCAGGGGCACATTAAAAGTGTTTGAGGTGGTGAAGCAACATTGGGGACAGTTTGGTGCCAGGGCCCTGGCTCTTGAGCCTTTTTTGGCTCTCCCCTCTTAAAGAAGTGAACAGCTTCTCCCACAGCCAACCCTGCCCCTGCTGCGTCTGGGAGCTGCTCTGAAAGTGCGTGGTTTATTCATAGCACCTGGCAGACATTGTGGCGCACTCAGGAACCTCAGGAACCTGTAGCAGCCTACCAAGCCTCACCAAGCAGGAAACCGTTCCACCCAGTCCTCAGCCCACAGGAGTATCGGCTCCCAAGTGTGGATGTGGAGTGTCTACCCTGTCGCTATTAAGAAGCTACACAGCCTTTCCCACTAGAGGCCACTTTTTTAATCTGGTTAAGCCAGGCCCATGTGCAGAAAAAAAGATCCAAGCGATCTCAAGGGTTAAGGACACAGTCTAGGGGAGCCTTTGTGTTTATCCACCCAACTGAAGACAGAAGATGACATAGGGGTGGGGGTGGGGTGGGGTGGAGAGATGGCTCAGCAGCTAACAGTACAGACTGCTCTTCCAAAAGACCTGAGTTGGGTCCCAGCACTTCCATAGTAGCCCACAACACCTAACTCCAGTTTTAGGGCACCCAACACCCTCTCGGACCTCCTTGGGCACCAGGTATGCACATGGTAGAGGGACATCCATGCAGGCAAAACACCATTTCCATAAAATAATAAAACTTAAAAAAAAAAGATGTACTGGACACCTTCCACGCCTTTAATCCCAGCACTCTGGAGACAGAGGCCAGTGGACCACTATGAGTTTGAGGTCAACCTGGTCTAAAGAGCGAGTTCCAGAACAGCCAAGGCTACACAGAGAAACCCTGTCTTGGAAAAACCAAACCAAACCACTTTTGGAGTAAATGTTCCTTCCCTTTGACCTTTGCCCTCAAATTCATAATCTATAAGCAAGAGTAATAATAACTGGGGGAGGGAAACAGGAGGCAGTGGCGGGGAAGAGAAAGAAATCTTTAATAAATAAATAAATCTTACAAAAAAAATAAAAAAGAAAAAAAAGAAAAGAAAAGCTGGGAAGAAACAAGCCAAGCTAAGGTTGGCTATTCATAACTAATAAAAAAAAGAGTAATAATAATTGCACAGGGAGAGTAATTTACTGCATGCACCCATAATCCCCAGACCGTGGAGGGTCATTTATCTCATGCACCCATAATTCACAAAACATGGAAGGTAATTTACCTCACGTGTCGATAATCCACAGAACACGGAGGGTAATTTACCACGGGCGCCCATAATCCACAGAACGTGGAAGGTAATTTACCATGGGCGCCCATAATCCAGAATGCTTTTTTCCTCAGCCTGTCTATATAGCATAGAAACTAGAGAAAAATGGGGCTGCAGATGCCAGGCAGAAAGAGTAGGCGTTAAGACGAGTGTGTGAGTGAGTGTGTGTGTGTTTCCAGCCTCCCACCCAAGCAGGCTGGCTCTCCCTTGCCTGTAGCTATTACTGGCAGAAGCCTGTTTAGCACGTGGCCCTGCGCTACTCCTACAAACTATGTGGGTCTCCTAGCCATCTTCACGCGGGAGCAGCGATTCTCAACCTGTGGGTTCGACCTCTTTGGGGACTGAGTGACTCTTCCACAGGGGTCGCCTAAAACCACTGGACAACACAGATGTTTACATTACAATCTATAACAGTAGCAAAATTAGTTATGAGGCAGCAATAAAAATAATCTTAAGGTTCCACAACACGAGGAACTGAATTAAAGGGTTGCAGCATTAGGAAGATTGAGAACCGCTGTGACAGAGGTATGAGGCTGGGAGACTGAAACTTCCTTTAGAGTCCAGGAGCTAGGCCAACATGGTTGGTAGTACATGGAGAGGCACAGGAAGGCAGGCTTCTCTTAAGTTCCATGCCAGTCAGGGTTACATAGTGAAATACTGTCCCAAAGACAAACAAACAAACAAACCCAGTTAATACACGAAACTCTGACACAGAAGCAGAGACCCCACTTCCTCGGGGCCTAACTGCTGCAGTCAGTACCCTGGGCTTCAGCAAGCCTTCCGCCCTGAGCTCCATAGCAAAGGCAAGAGTTTGCTCCCCTTCTCCCCATCGCTTGGGGACCTCCAGAGCCCAGTGTCCTTTGCAAGGCCAGCAGAGACGTTTGCACACGCAGCAGGGACATGTGGGGGAGCCTGTGTTGGAAAAAGGACGTGTCTGTGGAGGGGACACTTGTAAGGTCAGAGTGGTCATCCGCCCGACGATCCAGCTAAGGGAGACGCTCCATTGTCTGCCACTCTGGCCTCCTCCCGCCAAGGTCACATAAAGTGGCCAAGGTCACGTACAGTGGCAATGCCTTGTGCCAGTCACCCACAGAGACTCTAGAAAGCGCCAAGGATGAGCAAGGACCACATGGGTTCCCAACTTGCTCCAGACAGCAGGGCACCACACCCTTCCCCAGCTCTCCGAGGCCACCTGTCTTGCTTACCTTCCTGTTGTGAAAAGACACCAAGGACAAGGCGACTCACCGAGAAAATGTACTGCCAGGCGTGGTGGCACACAGCATGCGTCTTTAATCAGCACCTGGGAGCTTACAGTTTCAGAAATCTAGTCCGTGACCGCCATAGCGGGAAGCAGTGCAGCAGGCAGGCATGGTGCCGGGAGCAGCAGCTAAGAGCTCTCATCTTGACCCACAAGTATGAAGCCCAACAAGCAGACTGGGGTTTTAAAACCTCAAACCCCCCCCCCCCCCCCCCGTGATACGCCTCCCAGGCCACGCCTCCTAATTCTCCGCCACCTAGCATTCAACTAGATGAGCCTGTGGGGGTCATTCTCCTTCAGACGCCACACTGGCTCCACTTGAGTTTCTCTCTCAAAGGCAAAGTGAGCTAGGAGTTCCCTTTTCCCTCTGCACCAGAAAACCGCCAGACTGCTTCAGGCTTCGCCTACAGTCTAGAGCGGCTCAAGAAAATGCTAAGTAAGCTGAGTAAGCCTCCCCTTCCCACACAGCCCACACCCAGGTGCCCATACTTGGCTATTCACTTAGGCTAATTAGCTCAACCTGTACTTAGGGCCTTAGAGCTGGCAGTGGGGCAAGGGAACTATAGAGCAGAACGACCTTCCCCACTGACCTTTTCCAGGTCTATAGTGGAGACTCTGCCCTCTGTCATGCTTCCTCCCCAGGAAGATGATCGTCTTATGGGGTCCAATTTGCCCCATCTCTAGCTTAGGACTAGTGGCCTCAGCCTGCCCTGATCCTGGAGAACTCCCTCCTGCCAGAAGGCATCGGGGCACCCGGTTCTCCTAGGCCCAGTGCTTACTCCCTGTGGAGCCAAGGGCTGACTGCGGGTTCTGTGGTGGAAATATGGAAGGTCCCCTTGCTCAGAAGGAGCCTTCGGTGTGCTGGATGGGTCAAGGCCACTTCCAAGTCCCTTCGCACCATCTGTAGTCCGAGATATGACCTCGAGTTGAGGTCTTCTCAGGTTTCACATGAGAGACCTCCAGAAATGTAACTGGGTGCTGCTGGTCATCTCGGGTGAGGTCACTGAGCTCCTCCCCGGGCAGGCACAAACAGCTGGAGACTGAGCCGTGAAAGCCACTTTACCTGTTTGTAATGACAGGCGTGTGAAGGGCTCCTGGCTCTCCCCTTTCTGCTGTTGGTCCTCTTTAGAGACCCGCCCATGCCTTCTTGATGCCTCTCCTTAGCAATGTGTTCCTGAACAAGAAGTCAATGCCTCAGGAGGCCCATTTTCTTTTTCTTTTTGGGGGGGGTAGGGTTTAGAGCTTTGGAGCCTGTCCTGGCACTCACTCTGTAGACCAGCCAGGCTGGCCTCGAACTCACAGAGATTTGCCTGTCTCTGCCTCCTGAGTAGGAGGCCCATTTTCACTTTCCTTTTCTACCTGTGTCCCCCGATTCTCGTTCATACAGATCCTATGAGGGAGGAGGGATATTACCCCAAAAGTTGTCCTTTGAATTCCAGACGTAGCTGTGGCACCCCCCCATGCCTGTATGTACACACACACACACACACACACACACACTTTTAAAACAAGGAAAAAACTGTTTCACTATCAAACCCACAGCCTAATGGGAAAACCGGGGGAAATGAATGTTAGGAATTCTGCATTTGTTGCGAATTGCAGTAGCCAAGCACGGTAAGCTTGGTGTGCCCAAAGAGCCCCCACGTCGCTGTCCCCCGGGGAGGCTGGGCCACACCCTGCCCTTTACCTAGAACGTGACTTTCCCTTCTAGCTTCTGCTGATTCTCCAGTCTTAGCAGTCCCTTGGCTTGCAGACTCACTGATGCAGCCTCTGACCCCACGGTCACGTATCCATTTTCCTGCATAAGTGTTTGTCTCCAGACTTCCTGTTTCGATGAAGACACCAATCATATCCAACCAAGCTACAATAATTGCTTTAATTTTGCACCGGCCCCATTTCCAAAGACAGCAACAGCTGCTGTTCTGAGGTAGGACTGCAGCATGTTTTTTTTTTGGGGGGGGGAAACACTTGGACTTGATTAATGGTTAGAGAAGAAATTTCATGAAGGAGCTAGGGGACGATGGTGAGCATGGAGCAGGGGAATGATCTGGGGACTGGAGAGAAGGGCCTGGGTTCAGTTCCCAGCACCCACGTGGTGGTTCACGACTACGTGTAACTCCAGGCCCAGGAGGTAAGACCCCCTCTTCTGACCTCTGCAGGCACCAGACACACACGGTACACATGCATACATACATGCAGGCAAAACACTCTCACACATAAAACAAATACATCTAAAAATCTGCAGGGCTAAGACAACCTCTGTTCTGGTTCTCCATCCCTATCTCTGGATTCCGCATCTCTGCATCCGACATACTGCCGATGGTGCTGTAGATAGTTAGGCCTACCGAGGCTGCATCTGCACGGGCACATGGACTTTTCCTTCCTATTTCCCCCTAAACAGTACAGTATAGCAACGACCCAGTTTGCGTTCCTGTTGCAGTGATAAACGCTCTGACCAACAGCAACTTGGAAGGTGAAGGGGGTTGCGGTCACCTCATTGGTTACAGTCACAACTGAGGGAAGACAGGGCAGAACCATGGAGGAACATGGCTTACTGGCTTGCTCTCCATGGCTTGCTCAGCTGTCTTTCTTACACAGCCCAGGCACCCCTGCTAAGGGATGGTACCGCCCGCAGCGGGCTGGACCCTCTCACAGCAATTAGCAATCAAGAAAATGCTTTGCAGCCTTTGTCACAGGCCAATCTGATGGAGGCACTAAATGCCGGGGAGAGCATCCCAGGCTGGGGGCAGTGACGTCAGGCAGGAGGGGCTAAGGTGCTGGAGATGGGAAATGTGGGATGAGACAGGAAAGATGCTGTTGTTTTTGCAGTGTTGCAGATGGAACTCCTGGCCTCACACATGCTAGACAAATGCTCTAAATGAAGTTCCACCCCCAGCAGGAAACACTGGTTATTCTTGCTTTTCATTCATTCATTCATTTTGGTTTTTTGAGACAAGGTTCCTCTGTTCTCTGGCTGTCCTGGACTTTGCTCTGTAGACCAGGCTGGCCTTGAACTCAGAGACCAGCCTGCCTCTGCCTCCCAAGTGCTGGGATTAAAGGCGTGCGCTAGCACCCCAGTTACTCTTGATATTTCAAGCTATTGGTTTGGCTCATTGTGTCAGCTCACATCTAAGAACATGTGAGGTGCCAGGTTCAATCCCCAGCACATGCACTTGCGTGTACACAGAGTCAGTGTTACAGTGTGACTTAGGAAGTGTGACGTGTAGAAATAAGATGTAACAGTGCTGGGAGAAGGCTGGTAGGAAGCCAACGGAAGGATGCACACATGCATATTGAGCCATATTAATCCAAGGTAGACTGTGATAATCCAAAGATACATATTTCCTAAAGGAATCACCTAAAGGTCACTTGAGGGGGGCTGGAGAGATGGAGCAGCAGTTAAGGGCACTGGGTGCTCTTCCAGAATCTGATCTAGGTTAGATTCCCAGCACCCACATAGTGGTTTACAACCATCTGTATCTCTAGTTCCAGGAACTCCGACTCTTCTGGCCGCCAAGGCACCAGGCACACATGCATTCTAGCAAAATGCCACACACCTTTAGTCCCAGCACTCGCACTTGGGAGGCAGAGGCAGGCGAATCTCCGAGAGTTCAAGGCCAGCCTGGTCTATAGTGCAAGTTCCGGGACAGGCTCCAAAGCTACAGAGAAACCCTGTCTCAGATAAAAAAAAAAAAAAGTCCACTTGAAAGAGGTGAGAAGCCACATCAAGTGTCATTGCGCTGTGCCACCCTGATAGCCTGGGGTGACATTCCCAGTGGACTCTAGCTGGGTGCTACTGTCCCACCAGCATGGCTGCTTGCTTTTCTCAGCACTATTCTTCTCTGGTAGAAGAGCTGACCCAAGGGATGCTGGTGTTTTTAGAGGATGCATGGAAGGAGAGAGGCCTGGACCCTTCCTGGAGGACCAGGCATCTGAGCACAGCTGATAGAGCAGGGAGGCAAGGGCAGGATCTGCCGAGGCGGCAGCAGCAGGGGCACCGTCAGCTCTTGGACCCACCACAGGCTTCAGCAGGGCATTGCTTAGGCTAAGGAAGGCTATTCCACAGTAAGGGATGGCTGGGAGGGAGTTCAGCCACTCAGCCAGGTTCCCACACCCTGATCGCCAGCTCCCCCACCCGCAGAGAGGACAGTGCGGGGGTCCTGGGGTGGAGCAGCAGGACCATCCCCTCAACTCTCTGTAGGATGAGATGGAAGGCAGCCTTCCTTGGGAATCCCTGTCTTCTATCTCACCCAAGGCACAAGTCCATCCTGGACTCTCGAACCTGACGACAAACTGCAACAAGGTAAGCCCTCCCTACTTCCTGTGGCTGACAGGGCCATGGATGCCCCTGGGTAGCACAGGACCCAGGGGATAGAGGGACAGAGGCTCTTTCTGCTGACGATCACAATACTGAGAATTCTGTCGGTTCATGGCCTGCAGAGTACTTGCTGGAGCATTTTCTTATGGGGGCCTCCCAGCACCTTGCCCTTGAAGTGTTTTACCTACCTGGTGCTGGTTGGTGGCCCTGACCCACACCCATGGGAGGCCTCAGGCCAGGCTGACCTCCACCACCGTTCGGCCATGCTGTTCCCCACAGCTCCCAGGATGAAGTGGCCGCTTAGTTCCTATTCAGTGCCTGCCTTTCTTCCCTCTGCTGGAACTTCTCTGGGGGAGCCGTTCCGTGTCCATTCTGCTCAGACCACCTGAGCACCAGATGTGCGATGAGGTTTGTGCCTGCACTGTGTGTGTGCTGTAGACAAATGGAATTAGAAAGAAAGGGGTTGGCTATATGGTGCTCGTCTGTAACCCCAGTGTTCGGGAGGGAGTATCAGCAGGTCATCATCTCTGGCTACACAGCGAGTTTGAAGCTAGGTTGTTGGACACGAGACCCTGTGTTAATAGCCTCCTCACTCTCTTCCGGAAGGAATTCATCCTTAAGCTTTACAACGTTGATTGCTGATGGGAGTCTTAGGGGCCATCCACCTGTCCCATGTCCGGGAAGCCCTTCAAGGTGTGTCTATTTCCATAGCTAAAATGGTTTTCTTTCAGAGTACAAACTCTTACACAGCACGGCAATTCTTAGCTAACAGTTGATTTCTCTGGCAGACTTTTAAGAGCGCCTCTTTGGAAGGGGCCTGTGTTTCCCTAGACCATTTCATAGTCTCCCTCTCTGTTCTAGCGGACTCTCAGAATGCCCCACCCTTCCTGACTCCTTCCTGACTCAAAGGTGTGGCCACCCCTGGTGGTACTGCTCCAGGAACCTTCACCGCAAGCATAGCAGTCTTGTTCTAGAAGGGCCTCCCAGGGGCGGGCTGTCTGGTTGCAACGGCTCTAATGAGAGACGGCTGCTTGCTTTCTGGGCACTACATAGGCATTAGCTCTGACCCCTCCGCAACGCTGTCTCAGGGTCCCCGAGTTGTCCACACTTAGCAGTGACGGGAGAGGAGCCCGGTTCCGTCACTCCAGAACTTAGGGCCAGACGATGTGCTTCGTGCCCTGGTTTGGGAAGCTGTTACCTACCGACGTACTCACGATGACATTCGCTTCTCTGCATATGACAGGAGAAACCGGAGAGATTCTCATTCCACTCAAATGGTGGAAGCTGAGGACCCACGAGGGGCAGATGCAGGACGGACCGTGTCCTGCGCCCGCGCCCCTCCGCAGGCGCGTGCGCATCGCCGTCCCTCTCCTCTCGCCCCCGCCCTCATCGTTCGGGTTTTCAAATTTGAAACCTGCGGCTTTTCCCGCCCGAGCCGGGGCCCAGCGGCGGGAGAGGGCGGGGCCGCGCGCCAGCCAACCCAGGCTCGGAGGCTCGCGGCCCGCCCCGAGGATGCGGCCGCGCCCGCACGCACGTGCAACCCGGACCCGCGCGACTGCGGGCGGCAGGAGTGTGGGCAGCTCGCAGCACCCGGTGTCCAGGCTGTCCGACCCGGCCGAGCGCTTGTCACCAGGCGTTGGAGCCGTGGACCGGGACAGACTGGGCGGGAAGAGGCGGGACGGGCGGGGCAGGGCGGGGCGGCCGCAGTTCCCAGGGGCGGGGCCGGGGCGGGGCGGGGCGGCCGGGGGCGGGGCGGGCCCTGTGTTTGTGGCACCGTGTCAGTTACATTGAAACAAAAGTGGTTCCGCGGCTGCCAGGGCCAGCATCCCCGGCCCTCTCGCTCGCCGGCGGCTGTCGCCGACATGGAACCCGTGGCCAGCAACATCCAGGTCCTGCTGCAGGCGGCGGAGTTCCTGGAGAGGCGCGAGAGAGGTGAGGACAGACCCCGCGCGCGGACTGGAGTTGGCTCCCAACTTGGACAGAGTATGGCTCGAGGGCAGCTGGCGCGCTGCCTCCCGCACATCCACAGGAGTGCGCGGGCGTCAGGGCAGGGAGTGACTGGGGAAAGGGTTCTGGCGCCAAAAACCTTTCCTTGATCACGCCGTGCCAGGGGCTCCGGCTGACGGGCTGGGTCCTCTCTCTGGCAGAGGCGGAGCATGGCTATGCGTCCCTGTGTCCACACTACAGCCCCGGGACTGTCTACAAGAGGAGGAAGCGACCCGTGCAAGCTCCTGGTGCGCTGAACAGTGGACGGTGAGCAGGGATGGGGCAGTGTGGGGAGGGGCGCTAGTTCTCAGCTGGCGCATCTAACCCTCTTCTCACTTCCTTGTTTGCCCTTCTGGGCCAGGTACCCTACTCCATCTGCCTCTGTGTGTGTGTGTGTGTGTGTGTGTGTGTGTGTGTGTGTGTGTGTGCGCGTGTGTCGCGCTCGCGCCTACTCACGGACTCCTAAAGCACCTTTGATGTGGCCAGGAACTGTAACAAGACAGTTCTGAGTCCCCTTCCACTCACTCTCCTGAACTCTCTCCCCTACAGGCTTCTGCTTTTCTGACCTTTTGCATATGCCGTTCATTTTAAATGTTTTCCCATCTACAAGTCTGGCAGACTTGTTTTTGGACCCAATGTCACATCTGTCCAGTCACCCCCTCTTACCTGGCTTTCAGGGGAGACCCCACAACTACCCCGGACAGGTGTCCTGTATCTTCTGGTGTATGTGCCTCTGATTCCTCTGTCACAGCCTGGGATTTTGGTGCCCTAGGTGAGCCCAGGTCGTCACAAAAAGGCTCACTTGGCACAGATATCTGTAGTGAATTTTGAGCTGCCCAATAACCTGGGGTTGAGGATTTGAACAGTACCCACTGCCCCTCACTTCTTCTCTTGGCATTGGCAGGTCTGTGCACAATGAGCTGGAGAAACGCAGGTGAGTTCCAACCTGGCCCTGAGAACCAGGTCCCAAGGACCGTTTCTCTCAGACCTTCCCCCCCCCTTGCCATCCCTCTGGCCGGTGAGGTGGGGCTGGCAATGCCCTCCAGAACTCTTTCCCTGCAGGAGAGCCCAGCTGAAGCGGTGCCTGGAGCAGCTGAGGCAGCAGATGCCCCTGGGGGTTGACTGTACCCGATATACCACATTGAGCCTGCTGCGCCGGGCCAGGATGCATATCCAGGTAAGGTGTCTCCAGTGTGCTTGTGGAGGGCCTGGCTGGAGCTTTGGGACCTGCCCCCATCCTGTGTGACGTGAGACAACCGTTTCCGAATCTCTCAAATGGGAAGGAAAGCAGACAGCTGGGCTGTTCTGAGGCCCTGTAAAGGTCCCTTTTGTTATGATATCACTTAGGTTCTGTTTAGTTCTGCAGAGTATGTGCCTGTTGAAAATACTGTCATGAGCCATGCGATCCAGTGGACTGTAGAGGGCTGGTCCCTGCCTTCTCTCAGTAAAGGACAGAGGTGAACCGCTAGCTGGTCCAACCTGGCCTTGCCACTACTTAGGTGGGATTGCAGGCCCCCTGGTGGACAAGAATGGGGATGCAGATGCCAAGGCCCAGGCAGTGCCAGCCATGTGGGCATTTTAGAAGCTCCCTTGGAAACAAAAGAGGGTTTTTCCCTGCCTTCCAGGCCCATTTGATGAGAAAAAACAGATACTGCCAGACTGGAGGCACAGCAGCCGAGGCAGATTCAGGACCACAAGATTAATGCCTGCCCTGCCTTATCAACGGTTCATTAAGCACCACTATCAGGCTCTCGCCAAGGGCCATGGTAATCAGTGCCATCAGCAAACAAATCTTGGCTGTGGGACAGATTGTTGTCACATAGGTGCATGCTGTCATTATTCTGGTTGTCACAAAGGCTCTGAGTTCTCCCATGAAGTTCCTTTGCCATCCATCTTCAGATAGATGAAACGTGCTATTCAGGTGTTGAGTGGCACATGGCAAGCCTCGGGCAGCATCTCCTGGGCTTCCTTCCCCTCTGACTTGGTGCCTCTCAGGCTGCTTTCTACTCTGTATGTAGACCTACCGAGGCTCATCTCCGGCTGGAAACCGTGGCAGGGCAGTCTCAGTACCTACTTCCTATGAAACTCAAGCCTCTGTCTAACGCAGGCATTGCTTTTTTGGGCTCCACAGCCTCATGACGACTTTCTTAGGCTTCTCTCACTGCCTACCACAGACAAAGCTGGACCCTGCAAACTTCCCAGGGTTCCTCTGCCTTGGTGGTAATCCAATGCCACATCTTAGTCTATGTGAGGACACACATCCTTCTGTACCTTATCTCGAGTGTTTTGGTTTATTCTCGTTTTAAAAAGCAGAAAATCATTTGTATGGGAGGAGCGAACCCAGGGCCTTGCATGTGCTAGGCAAGCACCTTACCACCGAGCTGCTTGCCCAGTGAACTAGTAGCCTCTAGTCCAATAATTTAAAAGTAGTTGGCAGTGCTTCAAAGTACACTTGACATGAAAAATTTGGAGATGGGAAGAGCTGGCTGGGTCTGTGACTGTGGGCAGCAATGGGCTGCAACTTAGGCATGGCCATATCCTTTAGCCAGAGTTTTGCCTGTCAGGGTACCAGTCTCCAAGTTTGTACTGACATTATATTTTACCCTATTATGTAACAAGACCCTAAAGGCATTTGAGATTGGGGTACCTTGTCATGCACAGCCATCTAGACAGATCTTTGTACTTAGATGGGGCAGGAGATAGCCCTGAAGGACATGAAACTAGCTTGGGTTGGTTATGTGGCTGCCTGTCTGGCATAGACAAAGGTACCAGTGGCCACAGAAAGGCCAGTCCTTGGGCAGCTGACCCGAGTCCCTGCTCCTGGGGTTCTGCAGAAGCTGGAGGAGCAGGAGCAGCAGGCCCAGCGGCTCAAGGAGAAGCTTCGCAGTAAACAGCAGAGCCTACAGCAGCAGTTGGAGCAGCTCCAGGGGCTGCCCCGGGGTGGAGAGAGGGACAGGCCGCGAGCAGACAGCCTGGACTCTTCGGTTCTGTCCTCTGAGCGCTCAGACTCAGACCAAGGTGAGTGCTGTGCCATGTGGGCGGGTTTCTCTGGGCAGCACTGGGCTGTGGCATGTGGGCGGGGTTCCTGATGGGTTTCTCTCTGCAGAGGATGTGGAGGTGGATGTGGAGAGCCTGGTGTTCGGGACTGAGACTGAGCTGCTTCAGAGTTTCAGCGCTGGCCAGGGACTCAGCTACTCACACAGCACCGGTACCTGGCTATGATGCCAGCTGCCTCTCTCTCTGGACTGAGCCTGCCAGGCAGGGGAGCCCCACACAAGTCCCAATGTCTGCTTAGAGCCACTTGTTGGGAGACCACGAAGACCCTTGTGTGGGGACAGGACTCTGCACTCTGCTGCACAGCTTGAGCCTGGGACACCTTCCCCATCCCCCAGGGCATTTTATGTAGCCCTTGGCTCTGCTTTGCTGGCCCCCCCTCCAAAGGGACAGGAAGCCTATAGACCCACATATACTGCACAGTATTCTCATTAAAATCCTCTTTCGTAAGTTCCTGTCCATGGTTCTGCCTGATGAGATGGAGGAAGTCCCAGCCACAACTGGAAAAGAGGAAATCAGATCCGTCGCTGCCAGGCAGTGATGCGACCTGCCTGAGGTCAGGTTCCAAACCAACGCTGTCTGACTCCAGAACTGGGGCCAATCAATTCACGTGTTTATTGAGTGCCTGTTATGTGCTAAATATTGTTCAGGGTACTTGGGACACATCAAAGAATAAAACATGGAGCCCTGCCCTCGTGGAGCGCACAGTCTAGCGTGTGTCGCCGCTTCACCTGTGTACTGCTTCTGACCCTGGGCAAGTCACTGCGCCTTTCTGCCCAGTGGCGTAAAAGGAGGCTGGGCTCAGTAGATGCTGAGCCGGGTGTACTGCAGATGCGGACCAGGACACCACCCGAACCCACCACCCAGACAGCAGAGAGGGCTGGAGGCGCATCTTTAATAATCAAGTACAGTGAAGAGAAGGGAGAAGAAGGGAGCAGCTACACGAGCTGCTGCTGCTGCTTGGTGGCGGCCTTGTTGGCCAGGTCCTTGGCCTTCTCTGTAGCTGCCAGTGCCGTCTCCTTTGCTTTTTCTTTGGCCTCTTTGGCTGTCTCAACGAGTGTTCTGGAAGGAGCCTCCCCTGTGGCAAACAACAGGAGGCTGGCTTCAGATGATGCCTGGAAGACCCACTTAATCCCCATCCAACCAAGGCTTCTTAGGAACGGAGGCGTCACTGTCCTGATTCTTGACCCTCCCACCCTTGCAGGCACACAAGAACCTCAGGCTCAGATCAGGGCAATGATTGGCCCAAGGCATTGGTCAAGTTGAGGTAGGATCACCCCAGCCACTGCTAGTGAGGGTCCCTTAGTCCCCAAGCAGTGTCCAGGGCTCTCACCTTGTAGCTTGGCCAAGATGTACTCAAAGCCCTTCATCGTCTTGGTCACATTGCTTTTGAACCGGGCAAGGCCAAATTCCTGGCAGAAGAAGAAGGAGCATGGGAGAGCTGCTCAGTGACCCGGCGCCCGGTGTGGCCCAGCCCCCAAACCTCTTACCTGGACAGCTCGAGAGACACCAAATAAGCTGGAGGAGACCCAGGCTTCCCGACGGATTTCGGTCCAGCCGCTGTTGTCAGAGTTCACACAGTAAACACATCGTTCCTCCACCACCTGCACAGGGAATCCAGGAGAGCACCTTGTAGGCGTGTCCATCGCTTTGCTCACTTGCACAGACTCAGACCCTGTCTCTACTGTGCCTCCCAAGCCAGTATCACACTCCTGTACTCGACACTGGGTGAGTACTTGCCCTATGTTCTAATAGTCGGGCTGGAGAAATGGCTCAGTGGTTAAGAACACTGGCTGTTCTTCCAGAGGACCTGAGTTCAATTCCCAGCACTCACATGGCAGTTCACAACTGTCTGTAACTCCAGTTCCAGGAGATCTGCCATCATCACACAGACATGCATGCAGGCAAAACACCAATAATTTTAGATAAATAATTTCAGCTGGGCGGTGGTGGCATATGCCTTTAATCCCAGCACTCGGGAGGCAGAGGCATGCAGATCTCTGTGAGTTCGAGCCCAGCCTGGTCTACAAGAACTCGTTCCAGGACAGGCACAAAAGCTACAGAGAAACCTTGTCTTGAAAAAAAAGTCTTGGGGATCAGCTGGCATTCCAGCATGATCCTGGGCTTTGCTTCGGCCATGCACAGTGTTTCCAGGCTACATTCTGATGCTCTCGCTCGCTCTCTCTCTCTCTCTCTCTCTCTTGTGCTCTCTCTCTCTCTCTCTCACACACACAGAGTCATTTGATAATAATCACAGCTTTCATTATCAAAGTGAGTGGCAACTTCCTGAAGAACACAAAGACAATAGTCACAAACGCACCACTGTGCTGGTTATCCGTCAGGTCGCCACCTCCCGTTCTGCCCAGCACCACTCCTGAAAGTCCACCCTGTATGTATGTACGTCATACACTAACCTAGCGTTCTGTGCACAGCACTTGAAACAAGTTCTGAAAAGAGGTATCTTCCCCACCATCTGAGAGCCAAGGGAGAGGCCTAGAGAGGCTGTAGACTTTGCTCATTAGTATTCCACACCTGCTTCAGGCCACAGGGGTTCCCACAACTGCCTGAGACCTGGAGGGCAACTATTTTAAGGGACCAAAGGAGGTCTCACCATCAGCCGGGCGTGGTTGATGTTCCAGGTGAAGGTGGTCATGGTCTGGTTCTGTGGGTCCACAATAGAGTCCTCCAGGATGTACACCGAGTGAGCAACGTTGGCAGGAAAAAGTCGCTCTGCCCAACGTGGCATCCTGTTGGTCTTGGTCAGGAGTCTCCGAGACAGAAGCTTCTGGTCAGGGGTCACCTCCCGGTGTACTATGTCTTCCGTTAAGACATGTTTGCTGCGGGTGTTAAAGTAAAGATTATTCTCAGAAGTCTGCTCCTGATAAACTGTCTAAGGGTTCCCGCTTGGAGCCTCCAGGTCATGGCTTCCTGCAATCTTACTAAGTGATCTGTACTGGGTTCAAAGTTAAGGGTATATTGAACCCATCCCCGGGCAAATTCCAATCCCCTCCTCCTCCCTGACCTGGTTTCAGACGTTTTACCAACCTCCAAGATTTGTACCACTAGGGAGCGCCACGGGCAGGTGGGTAGGCCATCGCCAGGATTCCCAAACCCCAAGGTAACTCAACTCCTGTTTCCCCCGCCTCTTCCAGTCTCAACACCTTGAGACCACAAAATAAAAATCTAGAGCCTCATATAATCCATAGCGTAGACAGTCTTCTCCGAGGACCTTGCAGGCTTGGCCTGGTCCTAATCTTAACAAGGACTTTGTGCTCTAACTGTGGCCACAGTACGAGACACCACGTCGGATTCGCTGTCCTGTCTTTCCCGGCTCCAATACTCAAGGACAGCCTCCACTCCAACCTTCAGATGGAGAAAGGACGGCCATTCGCTCTACCCACCGCCACGTACCTATAGGGATTCGGGTACCGTTGCCAGAAGGCAGCGAACACTTGGTCCCAGGAACTTCGGAGCACGCTCTGGCCCAGGAAATACTTCACCATCGTCCCGACCCGGACGGGCTCAGCACCCGTGCAGCATCAGGGTGAAGAGCCCGGGGGTGGGAGGCACGTGGCTCGGCGCACGCCCGCCAGGCTCGCAGCTCAGTCACCGCCGCGCCGCGCCCAAGTCCCTACGGCCGCCATGAGGGACTATAAGACTGCGCGACGCTTCCGGCGCCGGCCGCGTAGGTTCGGCCACTTCCGGCGCTCGCACACGTGATCGGATGTCCCGCCCCCTGGCGTCCAATTCCGAAGGTGCTGGCTGGAGTTAGCTGCGGGGACCCCGGTTTCAGTCGGTAACCCCGGCTTGGCGGAACCTCAGTCGCAGTAGCGTTCGCGCGGGTGAGCGGTGCAGTGCTCGACGGCGCGGCGGAGGGCGCTATCCGCGTCCCCGCGCCGCGGCTCTGCTAGGGACGGAGCGCCCCGGCCGAAGCTCCGGGGGCCTGCGACGTGCGAGGCCCTTGGGGTTAGGGTCTGAGGCTTGGGCTCTGCCTGGGCCACGCGGACCCTGACGTGAGTGAGGCGGCCCTGGGAGCATGAGCGGGCAGCGCGTGGACGTCAAGGTGGTTATGCTGGGCAAGGAATACGTGGGCAAGACAAGCCTGGTGGAGCGATACGTGCACGACCGCTTCTTGGTGGGCCCCTATCAGAACGTAAGTGCACCCCACCGGGCCAGGCCCGGGAAGAAGGGGGCTGGCCTGCATTCGACTCTTATCTCTTACCTGGTTGCAGACCATTGGGGCTGCCTTCGTGGCCAAGGTGATGTGCGTTGGAGACCGGACGGTGACTCTGGGTATTTGGGTAAGTCCCTTGGGGATATAGTTTTGAGCAAAACCATTTCCGAGGTTTAATGTCTTGCCTCTTAAGCTAGCCAACTGGGGCCTTATCGAGGTCGTTTTTCCTTCCCCATACCCGTTCAGTTATCTTTAAAAAAAAAATGGGGGTTTGTTCTTAAGACTTATGAAGGAGCTTACTTTCACCCCCCAGGACACAGCAGGATCAGAGCGCTACGAAGCCATGAGCAGAATCTATTATCGGGGCGCCAAAGCTGCCATTGTCTGTTATGGTAAGGGGTTGGATTCTGGCCTATTTTAAGGGTTGGGTTACAGGCCAACAACAGAGGGAAACCACTGATCCTTGATTGTGTCTCCTGTGTGACCCCTACACCAAGACCTCACTGACAGCAGCAGTTTTGAGAGAGCCAAATTCTGGGTGAAGGAGCTGCGCAGTTTAGAAGAGGTAGGTGACCAGATCCCACAGATCGGCGACTGGGACCATGTTGGTCTGTGGAGATAATCTCAGTCTTGTCTTCTGCTACAGGGCTGTCAGATTTACCTGTGTGGCACTAAGAGTGACCTGCTGGAGGAAGACAGGCGGCGCCGTCGTGTAGACTTCCACGATGTCCAAGATTATGCAGATAGTAAATGTTCTAAAGCCTTTAAGGGTGGGGGGCAGAGAGTGGGTGATACCTGCTTGAGTGGATTACAAGGACGGCAGACTGACACCCTTGGCTATGGGATCCAGGACACTGAACTGTTAACTACATTTAGGTCCTGATTCCCAGGGATAAAGAGTCACTTCTCTTTGCAGATATCAAAGCCCAGCTCTTTGAAACATCCAGCAAGACAGGCCAGAGTGTGGGTGAGTGCTGTTTTGGGTCCTGCCAGCAGAAGGCAGGACACTGAAGGAAAAAAGGTTCAGAGGGCTGGGTCACTGGGAGTTCTCAGGGCTGCTGGCACCAGGGCCTCACTGATCCTTTGCTTGCCAGACGAGCTCTTCCAGAAAGTGGCCGAGGATTACGTCAGTGTGGCTGCTTTCCAGGTGATGACAGGTGTGTACTCCCCACCTATTAAGATGTCCTCTAGGCTCATGGACTCTCGTCCTGCTGGTGACTTACCTGATCACCACCATAATAGTGCTGAGCAGCCACCTCTCTCTTTGACAGAGGACAAAGGTGTGGACCTGAGCCAGAAGGCAAACCCTTACTTCTACAGCTGCTGTCACCACTGAGCCACCACTCATCTGGCCTGGGAGAATTAAATGAATTCCCCCAGAGGGCTTGGACCCAATTCTCGTCTGGGCTGGTGTGGTCAAGTGTCTGAGCTACTCCAGGTCCCCTTGGCAGCAGAGGTGGCACCTGCCTGTGCTGGCCCGTGGAACGGAGGCAGTATTGGGCAG